TAATATTCTTGTTGAACCAAGTAAATGCAATACTATTTCATTGCTAGTCCTAACAGATACTGGTATGATGCTAGATAAACCCTCCATTGTATGGAATGCATCAAGCTAGAATGCCTTTGCCACTAGAAATGGAAGAGGAGCCAGTTTATGTCAATGCAAAGCAGTATCATGGTATTTTGAGGCGAAGACAGTCACGTGCTAAGGCCGAGCTTGAAAAGAAAGTAATCAGAAACAGAAAGGTATGGTTCATATTCAACTTATTTAGGAAGAGGATCATGCAGCTAAGAGGAATGGTCTAATATCATCAAAAGAATTAGAATGAAACAGAGTTGAAAAACAAAATAACTGTGAAGTTTAAACAAAATCAATTTGTTCTCTAAAGTGAATTTCTCCCTCTAGAGAATAAGAATCCAAATTACCTGTTTGTTGTATCAGTTTCACCTTGTCTCACCCTGGTTACTGGTGAGGTGCTTGTGAATGTTTTGTATTCACATAGTTTTATCTCAGTTCTTGCCATTGTTGTGGAATTGATCATTGCCATGGCCTCAGATGTTTCATTCATTTCTTACAGCCATACCTGCACGAATCTCGTCACCTACACGCCATGAGAAGGGCAAGAGGCAATGGTGGTCGCTTTCTCAACACAAAGAAGCTTGAAAATAACAGTTCTAGTGTCACTTCTGACGAAGGCAACAATAGTGGTGCAAACCCCTCAGCAAACTCATTTAACACTCTGCATAGGCTCACAAACAATGAGAATCTAGCCTCATCAAACATGGTTCAGGACATGCACAGAGTTCAGAGTTTCAACAATGGTTACCATAATGGAAATTGTCTTACAGCACTATACCTTTCACAAGTGAATGGAAAAAAGGAGGGAGGAGACTACTTTGGAAAAGAGAGAGACCCTCTTGGGGCTTTCAAATAGTACTTCCCTCTTCCATACAGCAACACTTAGGTACCAGAAAAAACAAGATATATATACATACATATATATACATACATATATATACATACATATATATACATATATATATATATATATATATATATATATATATATATATAAACTTTGATACGAAATTAGAATTTGTATATGTCCCATATAGTTTGATCTCCAAATTTTAATAATTAATAGATATAGTCTTTCTAATCTACCTGCATAAATTTTTTAGACTTGTCAAATGTCGTTTCAAGCTAGCTTTTGAATTGTTTACACTGTTTGACATATTTCAACTCAAATGTCAACTAGACGTTGTTTAACACGTAAAAGAAAATTAAAGATATTGGATGAAGAAGACTATATTCATTCATTTTTTAAGTTTAAGGATCGAAATGTATCAAAATTTGATAAATAAACAAATTTCAATTTAACATCTAAGTTTCGGGACATGTTTAGTTGAAATTCTGGTCTTTGACCAGCTAAATTCTATATATTGGTTTATGCATGTTAAGTTTAGCTTATGGAGAAACTCATTTCAATCTTTCACTCTCAGAAGTGCTTATAGAAAAGTTTTGTTTGTTATTGTATAGTGAGCTTTTTGTTGAATTTGTCTGATGTCTGATGTGAGGTTTGATATTTTGCAGGTGAAGAAGGGCTTAATCTCATTCAACTTATGATGCTGTATTGAAGGCAAATCATTCTTGGCTCAGTTAAGTGGTGAGACCAGTGTCATGGTGTACTCTATTCCTTGTTTGGTCTCTCCCTTTGCTTTTGTTTTCTCTTTGCAAGTCCATTTGTTAATGGGATGACAAAGAAAAGAAAAAATCACTTTGGTTTCAGAACTTTTTTATGCTTTGAACTATGCGACAGTTGATTAAACTTTGAAGTGATTTCAGACATATGCTGCATAAAACCTTAAAAACTCTCTCTGTTTTGTCCTATATTTTCTTGCACATTGTTATGCTTGAAGTTTGCATGATTCATTTTTTGATCTTGTTGGCAATTTCGTTTTGCACCCCCACGATTTTCTCCATGCACCTCCATGGGGTGTGCAAAAGACAAAACTGTCCCTTTGGTATCACCTTTGTCGCCCTACTCCTTTCTTGTTGGAATTTATTTATGTAACTTGTACAATTCAAAAATTATTTATTACATAAAAAAAGTTATGTAATTTAAAACCATTTCGATTCTATGTCAATAATATTTTTTAAATTGTGTAATAGGAAATATTTATGAATTGTATAATTTAGAAGTATAATTTTGCACAATTTAAAAATTATTCTTTAAAAAATTATGAATAACTTTTATATTACTATTTTAAAAAATAATATAATATTGATTTAATATGCTTTGAAAATTATGAATTTCAGAACTTAGTTAAGAAAGAAAAAAAGTTTAAATTGAAGGGTAAAGTTGGAATTTTAATATTTATATGGGTGCATAATAAAAGAATGGGTTTGAAAAAAAGAATGTTATTTTTAAAATTTTAAGATAATGTGTTTCTTTAATTATACCATATTTTTATTTTTATTATACATTTGGATAGAGAAAACTGAAAGGACTATAATAATTAATTTATTAAAAATGAATAATCAAATATTTTCTGTGAATATAAGAACCTTAAAATATTACTGTACAGAAGTACAGAAAGTGTGTATACATTTTTAATACTCTTATTTCAGTGTATATGTCATTATATTTTTTTTCTATGTTATCATAACTTATTTTTCCTATTCACATTAATTGAATTAAATGTATAATTGAAAAAGGAATATTTTATCTTGAAATTTAAGAAATAACAGATAAAAAAATACCTTTTGCTAAAAAACTGATAATTGGTGAGGAACGAAGGAAATAAAATTGCAAGTTGAGATGACTTAATTTTATGGTAATTTAAGTTTAATATAAAAATATAAACTTAAATTTCAATAGATAAAAAACAAATTTAACTCGAGTACGAAGAATGAAAAACATATTCAATTTTTTTATGCATAGATTTTAATTAAAAACAAATTATCTTACTGTTATATGTTAGAGAATAGGATATGAGCAATTCGTGAGATGTATTATTATGTATCTAAGTTAAATTTTTCTCATTTTTACTTTTCATTTTCTCTTAGGTGATATTTGTAGTGACTTTAATAAGTAATTACTTTCGGATAATATGAAAAATAATTAATGATATTTTTTCAGGCATGAAACTTTTCATAAAAATATCAATAATTATGAAATAATTGAACGTTTCTTATTAAAATTGTAATGATACGAGTAACTAGTATGAATATTCCATTAATCTTTATTATTGCTTAATATATTATTATCTTAAAGTATATACCATTATTTGTAGCAAAATGTATACAAAGATTGAGGCAGAACAACACAGTGAGGCTGCAACCATTATCACAGTTTTGCTTGTTCTTGCAATTGTTCCTGCCCAAAGAGAAACAATAACAATAATTAGTGGCATCCTCTTAAAGTGGAAGAAGAAATGAGGGTAATATTTTGATGTATAAGCACTTTCAACAGAACAAAAGGTAAGCAATGAATGAGGAACTATTGATTACTTCTTTATAAAAAAAAGTGATTTTTATCAGCTCATTTAGCAGCAAACCCTGATGCTTGTCTGGTAGCATGAAACGGTAAAACTGAAGATAATGTTGGTTGTTTGAAAAAAAAAAAAAGGTACAATATTTTATTTTATTTATGAATTAAATATGCTTTTAGTATGCAAAATTAAAAATCATTTATGTCCAAAACTTTTACATATTTTGATCCTAAACTTTAAAAATAAATAGATATAATATTCTTAACTTAAAAGTATTAATTTCTTTACAGATTAAATGATGTTCCAGATTGACATTTAAACTAAATGTATCATAAACAACTCAAACACCAGCTCGAAACAACCCGTTGAAAAAGTTTATTAAAATGAGGTTAGAAAGATTATATCCATTCATTTTTAAAGTTAGAGAACCAAATTATATTAAAATTTAAAACAAGGACAAATTTCAAATTTTGCAAGTTTAATAATTAAAAAAATATTTAACCTTATTCCCATTCATTTCTATATCTTTTTTGTTTATTTCTTTACTGATTTTCTTCAACCAAACACTTCTAATTTTCACTTATTTCATTCACCATTTAGATTTTCATTCCCTCACTACCGAATAGACCCAGAAGAAAATGGTTGCTTAATAAACATTCTGAGTGATGTGGAGGAAAGAAAGAGACGAAGAAATAATGTTGAAATATATGAAGCAACACAAACCTCAGTCACAAAGAAGGCATGGAAACCATATGGAACTCTATTGGGCAATTCCACAACCGCAACAGGATCTGCTGACATTGTTTTTGCATCAATGACATGCACAAATGATTTTCTGCAGTTTTGTATTATGAATTCTGTTAGTTAGCAATTGTAATGCAGATTACAGAAACTTGATAGACAAATTTGAAGAGGATATCATTATCTTAGTACTATAGAAGGCACTTTCAATTTGTAAAACGTAAAGGTATACAATATGTGTGCATGTTCATAATCAGTCCAAAGCATTATCTTTCTGTAATTACTTCCTTCTTCCTATATGTAAGTGTAAGAGTTTCTGTAGCAGAAAGAAGAAAAATGGAAGGTTTTAATAATACAAGGATCACAAACCAAAAAGGTGTAAGAACTAGTAGTTATAATTAGTATATTAGTATGGACAAAAAGGTTGTAAAACCTAAAAATAAGTTTATAGAAGTCACTGCTTCAAGTGTGTAGAGAAAGGTGTTACCCTGCATTTTCATCATGTACAAACAAGACCAAGTATCCATCATCTTCTTCAGAATCTATTCCAGGGACACGAGGGATATAAACAGCTTCCGAACCAAACTTTCCTGGTCCCAAGTCATAGAGTCCCTGAACATTTCCTCCAACTTCAAGCTTTTCTTTTCCATGATCTGGTTCGGCATGCAAATCAAATTTGATTATGCCGGTAACTTTTGCAATGTTGTCTAATGTGGTACCATAAACATATCGCTGCTTCCTGATGAAATGAAAGATTAAATGTGACCATGATGATTAAAATTATCAAATACAACATAGTTGAGATGTTAAAGTTCATAGTGATGTCTAACATGACCTTATTTGGATTAAAGTTATCAAATTGACATATGATTGAGATAGACTTGTTCACAAGTTATTGAGTACTTTGACTTCGCTAAATTTTCTCAACATGGAGAGAATGAGCTTACCTGCCAGTGTAGCTTTCATTGACTCTAGGAAAATCTACAGCAGAGGCTGACAATTTCTTTTGAGAAGCTTCACCAGTTTTCATGTTAAATCTCATTTCATACCTATAAAGTGTTAAGTGTTCATAAATAAAGAACAATTATGCAGTAAACTCTTTTTTTCTCAAAAATTTACATGTCAGAATGAATCCTTTACAGCTCATTTGAGAAATTTTCATGCTTTTCCTGGACAGCCCCACCGACGTTGTCCAACTTTGGATTCTGAAGGCGGCATGTGATCAGAACAACTTCATCTTCCTCCTCCCAAGCATTGGCTGAAAAAAAAATGACATGAAATTTTACAACTGAGAAATCTGTAGAAATAAATAATTCAGAGCATAAATTGAACCTGGTTTAGAATTCAAACATTTTAAGTATGTCACAATGGACAACTTTATGCAATGTTACTGCAAGGATTGTTATTGTACTATATACAGCCAAAAGACATCGTCCTTACTGTGGCAGGAAAAATATACCAGATTGTCTAATTTATTCTTTTGAAGGACAAACACCACATCTAACACATTTTGATAAATAAAAGGAGACTGTTTTCGAAGGGCCAAGAACAAAATAGTATTGGCATATCCTGGAATATCAATGAACATACAAATGAGAAACGAAATAAACAAGCATACCATTGTGGAATATGAAGCAGTTTGGTAGCTCAAACCATCTAATATTCTTTTCATCCTTAGCATACCGAGGTAGCACACCAAAACGGGCTTTCCTGGTTGAATCAAATGAGAATATCAATGTATTATTCTTCACCATTTCCTGAAAAAGGGTTTCAATCCACAATGTCAAATTCATTAATTGCCACCAATTGATGTACAAAGTCAATATGTGTGTTTTTTTCCGGAATATAAGAACAGATACACCTGTAATACCTTTGGCCTAAAAATCAGAGGAAGATCCAAGAATATTGCATAATTCTCTGTGATGGCAAAGTCATGCATCATGATGGGATCTGATACTGTTATGGGTACAGGATCATGCATATAACCATCTTTTGAAATTACTCTGTATGTGATATATGGTGGTGTATGTGCATAGCCAAATGTAAACATCTCCCCTGCATACAGAATATTTATTTGTTGGACAAATATTCCATTGAATCAGACAATTTAATCACTCATTTAAAGATCGCTTTACCAGTAAATGGATCAACTTTTGGATGAGCAGTGAAGGAGTGGCCTAATCTTTTATCATAATCTAGCATTCCAAGTGTCTGCAAATCACCATCTTCAAAAACTTTAATAGCATCTGCAAAATTCAAAATGAAACTACTTCAGTCCTGGAGACTAGAAGAGGTCAAAACAAGTATAATTAGCAAGTATCCATGAGAAAGGAAAGAACGCTGTCCGCTTAAGATCATAACTTGATGAATCTTTCATTCCCTTAGTTCCATACAGACCATGGCATTTCAGATATAATCAGCAAGCTTATATCATTCATGAAAGAAAAAAAAAAAGTGGGCACAAATGGTACTTACAAGGTTTATCTGCTTCTGAGAGAGCTAGAAGCTTCCCATGGTGATATACAAGAGCAGTATTGGCTGGTAGAAATTGGAATATGAACACAAGTTAGTTTCAACAATTTCAGTGATGCACAAGAGCTTAATATTCCCAGTCAAAAACGACTGGGAGCATTCACCAAAATATGTGTAACGGTAATCAGCAAAGCAAAGTACCAGGTAGTGCATTCTCCAGTCATATAGTAATGAAATGTGTACGAGTGTGCGTACGAGTATGTGTGCGTTTGCATTTGTCGAGTGTGTGTACACATATGTGTATGCATTTGTCGAGTGTGTGTACACATATGCGTATGCATTTGTCGAGGTATGCGTATGCATTTGTCAAAATTTATACGAGCATTGTAAGATGCAATGATAACATGAACACCATGCTAGTGATATATTTTTTGAAGTGCCAATACTTAAAAGAAGCCCATGCATAACGACAGTGGAATCTTCAAATGGGACACACAACGTACTATTTGAATGGTACTGAACAAAAATTGCAGAATGTAAGAAATTCCTGGGACCTTAAATTTGAAAAGAACCATAAAGCACAAATTACCTGTTCCACCTCCATAAGAAACATCCAACACTTTGAATTTAGTTCTCAGCATATGTATGTTAACCATTAAAAGTCCAAATAGACCCTTGAGATCTCCAATCTGATAGCAACACAAGAAGCTACGTTTGTCTAGGGAATCTAAAATAAATTATTTCTAAATTATAAAACTACTAAAATTCTCACTCAGCTTCTAAAATAAATTATTTCTAAATTATAAAACTACTAAAATTTTCACTCAGCTTCTAGGCTTTCACTTTCTTTCTATACCTTCATAAATTTGGACCGTCCAAAGTATTCTTCTTGTTTAAGACGAGAAGTTTTCACAAAACGTGAAACATATGTAGCTTTTCCATCTTTGATGCGCAAACCATGAATCATTCTGCAATTCATTGATACATGAATAAAAATTGGAGGAATAGACACCAGAACTATGAATTTTGTGCTGTATAAATTGGCAGCCCAAAACTTAAGAAAATCAGAGACAGTGAAATTGCCATTATGGTGAGCTGCAGAAAGTCAGAAATGAATATTGGAACTGGTGTTTGATTCACAAACAATTGAACTTAAATTTATATGGGAGGTGCTTTGTTATCTAGAATACTATATTGTTTAGGCTTAGTTAAGATTGTGGACCTTATACTTTTACTCTATGTTAAATTTAGTATCTATAGTTTCAATTTGTCCATTTACTCCATCATTTTACCAACTACCCCCCTCCCCCTCCCAGTGAAATGTAGGGATTCTGGAAAAAGAAAAAAGTGTTGAGATTTTGATTGAAGTTTGATGCTAAACACTATCCCAAGAAATTCCAAATTCCAATAGATCCAGAAAATATGGCCAGTCTATACAACTCATTTATAACAAACTTGAAAGAAATATGTGTTTGCATATAGGAAGAGAAGGACACACCCATCTCCATCAAACCTGCCAAAAACAGTGAGAGAAAGCACGGTATAAGAGTCAAAATCCACTTTAAGATCACATTTTTTGAAACAGACTAATTTAAAAAGTTCCATATTAACACCAAACCTTTTTGAATAATAAGTAAATATGGTAAAAAGAAAATCAATATACTTGTAAGCTACATGTATCATAAAAATTGAATATTTGCCAGGATTTGTTCAATATCTCATAATATAGAGTTCAAAAATGTAAAAAATAATAAAACTATACCAGTGATATCCGGCAACAGGAGAAAACTTCGGATTAGGTCCAACTCTGACAAACTCCCCATTCAAGCAATCCTGAAAGACAGTTATAAACGGTAGAGAATGAGTGGCATGACTGGATATTGCTCTAGACTCCAGACCTTCGGTGAAAGAGTGTATACATTAAAATGTTTTAATTATATATCAGGTAACATTGTTCAAGGACAGTAATCAGAAAGCCAAAGATATACCACACATTTTCATGACCAGTAGCATAACAAGGTCTTGCATTTAAACAGAGCCATAAAGCACCATTATACTAGTGAAATTATATAAAAAGCAAAGAACTGCCAGAAAGACGGGCATGGACTACTTCCACGGTGATAAAAGATTAGGAAAATCTAGATATTGTAATTCTTACAATAACGAGATCTTCATCAATAAAACAACCAACTTTCAACTTTGAGAATGATGTATAAAACATGGCATGATTTGATGTTTGTTTAAAGAACTTCACACCATGTTAGAGAATCAAAATTATTCCATTTTCCTCTCTCTCTTCTCTGTTTATCCGAATTCTTTAATTTCCCTGTCTAAGTATTCCACTTCAAATTCAGAATTAAAATATAAGGTCATAACACCACAACAGATAAAATGAAATACAATAACACCAACTTTTTAAAAAACAATCCAGAACTGTGATTTCGGTGCATTCTCAATCTTTTTTCATGTAAACCCCATTTGCACAAGGGGCTGATTTAGGATCTTTTGGGTTAGAACCTTGTAGGAAATTTGGAAAATTAGTGAGAAGGTGGATTGGAAAGTGACTGAAATTCCAGGTTGGATAGTACTTTAGAAACATCTATATCTCAAACTACAAAACTCCAAATGAGGTGATTCAAAAACGAGATGAACATTCACGTTTTAAACTTTAATTTAAGCTCAAGAATCACTTAATTTGGGCATGTAAAACAAAAGATATAACCAAGAAAGATATGACCATGAGATAAACCTGGACAAAAGTGAGTTCCTGAATTCAGTGAAGGAAGAAGGAGAGGTGAAAAGAAAAGGTAAAAGAAAATAATCACTCTTTCCAAGGGAGACAACATATAAAGATGGAAAAGTCTTTTAATACAACCAAGGATTCTTGAATAGCTCAATAACATAGGAGAATCACTCTCACTAAATAAAACGAGATAAACTCTAATATTTTTGAATAAAACTCAACTTGCGTCATTGATAAAAATGGTTCAGGTAATATAGAAGCTTTAGCCATCATAGTTTAAAAGGATTCATTAACTGCAATTACATCTTGCTTAAGTTAATAATGATCCCACTTAAACTAATAATGATCCCACTACTTAATAACTAATTGTAATGAAATTGTGGCAACCAAAAGTCACCCAAAAACAATAAAACTCAGCCCACTAGCAGTCAACATTCTTGGTATTGTAACATCTCATTCATGCAATTATTTGCAACAAAAATAAAATAAAATAAAATAAAGTTAGTGCAGCCAAAAACATTGTCAATTGGACTTCATTAAAAACTATGTCACCTCATTTTTCTTCTACCCGGTTGGATTCACATCATTTTTGGACTACATGTGACTAAAATTGAAGCCGAATTTGTCAACTATTTACCACAAATTCAAGAAACATGACAACGATACATGTTCCTCAGACGGACAACCATACAACAATACAAGTTTAATTTTCATACACTGTCAAAGTAGAAATTTAACATTATCAATCAACCGGTCAGAAATTATCTTGACTGGAATTTCTCAAATAACAATAAACAACAGTCTTCCCCTACATAACAAAATCTATGATTGGATAACACCAAGCACTGTCAAACAATCTATAAAGCATGAGTACAATTCAATTGAATTGAATAAAGCAAAAATTCAACAAAGCAAGAGGCAAAAGTACTAACCGGGAGGTGCCCTTTGACAGGAAGGTCCTTAGTGGGAGGGGTCTCGGTGACAGGAGCAAAATTACCAGCGAGGTAGTGATGGGGCAGTGAAGTGTCATACAAAAACTTCACCACCAGCTTCTCCAACAAATCAATCACTTTCGAGGTGAAGCCATTGCTGGGTTTCGGTTCCACTTTCACCAACTCCCCCTCTCCTCCGTTCTTCTTTCCATCATCCCCCATTTGACCGAATGATTGCAACAAAGCTTTGAGCTTTACGAAAAGGGTGTGGAATTATGAGTGGAGCTGTGTCACTATTTGAATGAATGGTCTTTGGTCTGATGTGGCTGATCTTCCAATGGCTCCACGTTGTTCAGGCCTTGTTTGGCCTGAATGTTGCCACGTTTGTGTCACGATCACAAATCTCGAGATTTGAATTGTGGACACAACATACTGATCTTACATTTTATTTTATCCTCATTTATCTTTTAAATTCTTCCCCATTACTAAAAGATATTCTACGGATTAATGTTATTAATAAGTGAATATTAATTTTAAAATATTCTTACATATATCTGTAATTTTAATTATTGATAATGCCACGGTGAACAGAATTTTATGACAATGAGACTTGAAAATCGTAACAAAAAATTAGAAACAAAAATACGAAAAGAATAAAAATCTAGTAATAAACAAACATTAATGTGTGTCCGCTTATTATGTATTTATTTATCATAATTGGTAAAAAAAATATTGAAGATCGACTAGGGTCTAATTTTTTGTTATTAAAAAATTAAAGAATAAAAATATATTTAATTATAAATGTTATATACTCGAGTGACATTTTACTTTTATACATTTTATTTTTTTTTTGTTTTTACATTATTTTCTTACTGATTGATGACTTACATTTTTTCTCCATTTATATATCTTAAATAAGATATATAACGATAAAAATAAATTTTTACATATGTATACTATTTGAATACTTTTTTATTTTAATGTAGTTAAAAAATATGTTTGGAAATTTTAAATAAATTTACAAAATTAGTAAAGGCATAGGATTGAAATCTATATATTTTAAAATTAAAACGTAAATGAGAACAAAGTTTTTAAAAAAATAACTAATTCTAATTAAGAAATAGAAAAACATATTAATCATAAAATTTATGAATATTAAAAGTAACTTTTTAACCCCCAGAGTCTTTTTATAAAATGTTTCCATGTATATTTAAATAATAAATGAACAATCAGGGAAAAAAGAAAAACATGTTTCTTAACGAAATGAGAATAATAACGTGTAATGATTTTAAATTTTGAATAACTTTAAAAAGTAGATCGATTAAACATAGGTTGTTTTTAATTTAACGTGATTTATAATTTGAGTTAAAATATATAGCTAAATTAAATATTCTATACAAAATTGAAACAAGTTTACTATTCTATAAAGTAAATACATGTTATTTTGAATAGTTAACCATTGTTTATAGTCTTCTAATTATTTCTTGATGACTTTTATCTTTCAAAATTCTATAAATACTAAACATGCAATTCACTCCTTAATCTTATTTTATAGTTTCTACCCTAAAACAAACTCTTCTTATAAAACAAAACTATCATCATTCATTTCAAAACCTTTGTTTTATGTCTATCTCCTGACTAAACTTCTTTGTATTTGAAGTTATGATGTAATTAATAAATAATTAATGTATTATTCAATGTATGTATGTATTTAATTTATTCTATTAAATGTTGTGAGAGTTTTTTAATTGAGGTGATTATATAATAGTATACGTAATTAAGGTAATTTAATATATTTATTGTATAACTTGTGTATTGATATAACGATTAAATGTGATTATGATTTGTTGTTTAATAAAAACATGTGATTATATCAATTACAAAAACTATGTGAACTATATATATGTGTATATTTTGATTAATATAGTAATTAATGAACCTAATTATAATTTTATTAATTTGATACTTAATTGAAATAAATGAAGCACATTAAGTTGAAAACAATGATAATTAAATAAAATGTTAAGGTTTTAATTTATCTTACATGAATCATTAAAAATACATGCGCTACTCACATTTATGTTCGTGTTTTTATTCTAGTAAAAATTTATTAAGTTATAAAATAACTTTTTAAAAATAATAATAAAAATAACACCTATTGGTGTTATCCTTTATGTTACACGTCTTCACCTTTTCATAAAGTACCAATCAATTGGATGAAAGACTTTTTTCAAATTTCACCATAACTACTTTTCACTATGTGAGTTTTATCTTTAATTGAGCCATGATAGTCTCATTTCAAACTATGACATCAATACACTCCACACGACATCCAAATAGTAATATTCTCACATTGAAAATCACTACATTATCATTCAAAATCATGCATATCAAACCAAAGATAGATCTAACTAAAAGAGAGTATATACATCATTCATACCTCTTTATTTTTATTTATGTCATACATTTGTATCTTATTTCCATCCAAAGTCATCACATATTGATTAATTCAATTGAAATATTAATAATACGTGATTTATTTTTTTATTGTATTAACAAAATATTCAATTATAATATTTTCATTAAGTATATCAAAATTACGATCAAATTGGCAATCCAATTGGTCAAAATGATTAACCACATTTCAATAATCATTTGTCATAATTTAAAGTCAATTCAACGGTTAACGAATTGATACTCAAAATTTTATCAATATTATCTAAAACTTAAAACAGGGTGGCGTCCAACACGAGATCCCCCATGCTCATTGTGAAGTGGGTGTCCAACACGACCAGGGGATCATTTAATGCCTTAAACCTTTGACGTTAATGATTAAGTAGCGTCCAACGATCTCAAAGTTACGTTCGACACTTTGGACCACTAGAGCTCACTTAGTAACTTTAGTCTTACAAGCGGCGGACAACGATTTTGTGATATCGTCTCACACTTTATTTGAGTTTTAACTCTCAAGTTGACTTAAATAGGTTGTCCAACTTGACTATCCATGCAACTTTAGTTCTTTCTTAGTTTAAAATAGCTTATTTTGGTTCAAAATAGTCACTGATATATCAAATATGACAATCGTAGCTAAATCAATTGAACCCCACAAACAACAATACTAAAACAACCCATAAACAATGGCCCTAGCAATAAAAACACAATTCAATCTCATCTTTATACTCAGACAATTTACCAATACAATTTAACATAGAAACTCATACCATATAATTTACAAACAATCCATATTGCTCATCACAAATCACTTTCCAATCAAACAAGCACATCATCTCAATTGAAATCAGTACACAAGTTAAAACATATATGAGCAAGTACAAATTTACCATAAGCATCCCTGACTTGGATAAACCTTCCTAGACTCAAAAGGTGTTTCCCATAAGCTCTGTCCCATATAGGTTAACATACCAACACACAGAGAGTTATGATCAACAATCATAATACACGGTTGCAATCCTAACTGAACAAAGATTCAACTTGAGCCCTTTCATCATCACATGCAAACTTCTACACCCCATGATAGCAACCTCCTCAAGCTAGGTTGGGACAAAGCGCGAAGAGATGCTATGATGATGATGAAGGTGCAAAAGCAAGGTGGTAAAAGGGCAAGGCTCATGACCTCTGGCATTTTAATGGTGATGAGATGGTGATGGGATGATGTTTGATGGTTCTATTGAGAGGTTGGACTAACTTTAGGAAGAGTAACTAGAGGATATCGCATATGATGTTCTAGCCTCGACTTGAGACAAGACATGGTTGCACAAATATTTTGGCAATATAACATTATAATTCTCAAAGTGAGTTTACAAGAGAGAGACACATTTATGTATAGATGAAGGTGTTTCCAAAGTAGGCAAAGACCCCAAAATGTTATCATGCATCAAACCTTAAAAATTCTATCTTGATGAAGGAAAGTTTAACATGTGACACTTTAACTTTTAGAAAAACTCTCCACTCCTAAAATGTCACGTGGAAAGCCCTTTTAGCAAAAGTTTTCCCCTGATAAAATGACACATCACCATGTAAGAAAAATGTTTATATATATATTTTTGGAAGAGTCATGCTAATCACTATGTGCGATAATTTATTCAATTCAATACCTTGGATATATACTATGAATATATTTAGGTTTACTTTTCTTACTTCTTGAAGTTTGGATCAACGAAGAACAAATGTAAAAGTAAAATATAAAAAACAAACAATTAAGTATATACATATTTTATATAATCAATTGTTTAATATACAAGTTTAACAACTTCCGCAACAGATAAATGAAAAGAAAAATAATATTTTACCATAATTTAAATTCGTTAATTGTTAAACAAACAATTAAATTCATCTCATTATCACAATCAGTTGATAAAACCTAGAATAGCGAGATGGAGCCTCATTTTGAATTTCCCTAAATTTTCCCGCCTTTGATTTGCTATTCCCTTTGTCAGCTTCAACGCCCCCAACAAAGCAAAATCCCAAAAAGACTCATTTTTATTATTCCAATTCAAATTTTTTGTTCTCTTCACTCTCTTCCTCCTTCAACCGAACACGCCGTGTCGCGTTTCGATCTGCGAACCCTTTTCGCCATGCACATCAAGGAGGTTTGCTTGGAAGGGTTCAAGTCATACGCTACGCGCACCGTTGTTCCGGGCTTCGACCCCTTCTTCAACGCCATCACTGGCTTGAACGGTTCAGGCAAATCAAACATTCTCGACTCCATCTGCTTCGTTCTTGGCATCACCAATTTGCAGCAGGTTAGGGCTTCCAACCTCCAGGAACTCGTCTACAAGCAGGGTCAGGCCGGAATCACCAAAGCAACCGTCTCCATCGTCTTCGACAACTCCGACCGGTCGCGAAGCCCTCTCGGTTACGAAGGCCATCCCGAGATCACAGTAACAAGACAGGTTCTCATTTCTTCTTCTTCTTGTTCCCAATTCTTGTTTTAATTCCGCTGTTCTCCGTTAAAAAACGTAACTTTTTTTTCTTCTGGTGAAGAGTATCACATTATGAATAAAAACTAGTCACTGGAAATAGAATCAACTGTTAGGGTGATAATGTTTTAGGAATGTATACCATGAATAAGCTTATTAGTAGACTTGGTTGTGTTTAAGTCTACAAAGCTGAGCCCAAATACTCTGATAATTTTACTCAAATCATTCACTAATGGGTCGGTACCTAGTGTATTTCTAGTTATGTTCTATCGGGTTATTTGCAATGGTGTTTTTATTTCTCATGAGGCTGTTTTTGGGGATCTTGACAAAAAAATAGGAGATAATGGAAGTAAAGAGAAAATGACTTTTTCTTTTTAGCAATTAATT